CTGGCAGGGGAAGCACCAACGCTATCACTTTGCCAACTACAAGTTCACGTTTGCGGCGACTGTGTCCATTCATGAGGTTCCGACGGGCAGGACTCCGCTGGTGGGCGCGATGGACGGAGATAAAACAACACTGCTGGGAATCTCGTACGGGGAGGATATGCAATGGAGCGCGGTGTGCGGGTCGGACGTGAAGCACTCCTCCACCAAGTGGGAGTTGCATAAAACATATCACGTGGTGCTTCGAGTGGACAACGGTGCGTGCTCTGTGTACATTGACGGCCAGTGCATATCGAATCCACAACCGATACCGCCCGATGGAACGACTTTGTACGGGATCTCGCACTTCTTCTTTGGCGCGTACGATGATCTGCTGGCCGGCAAAAAAATCCATGCGACGGTGGCGAATGCCATGCTGTACAACCGTCCGTTGAATGACACGGAGATCGATAAGCTTCACCAGAATAAAGTTTCCATTCCAAAGCCGCAAAATACGGAACCACAAGGGGCGGATTCTGTTCCAGTTCAAGCAATTTCCATTAACCATGCGAGTGTTTCTTCACCCAAAACTGTGCCGGAATCAGTGCCCTCTACTGGCGCCGCTGTCCACACAGTGAAGACGGAGCAAGTAATCTCGTCTACGGAGTCCAAGGTTGTGGAAACGGAAAGAGTGACCTCGTCGGGGGATACGACGAATGTGGTCACGGAAACCCAACAAGTGAACTCGTTGCAGGAGTCCACGGAAGTGGACACGAAAAAACAACCTTTGCCGCTACCGACGACGACTGTGGAAAAGGAAAACCAACCAGTAACCTTGCCGGAGCCTGGGACCGTAGGTAAGGAAGATGAATCCTCGCTGGAGCCTGATGTCGTAAGCGGGGAACACAGATCCCCGTTGAAGGGGTCTGAGGTTGTGGGTGAGGGTGAGAGGGAGGAGGCGGCGGCACCGCCAGTGTCCACAGCGGAGGGCGCTTCCTCTACAGTAAATGCGAACTCTGACCAGCTGCCAAACACTCCTGCCGTTGAAGAAGTTCATCAATCTCAGTCGGAAGAAGAGACGGCTTCTGCTGAAGAGGGTGCAGTGCCACATCCAAACAGCGCAAATTCTGCTGATAATGATGGGGCAGAGGATGAAACAGGCGTAACGGATGCAAACACCGTTCTTGACGGTGGGGTAAACAAAGGCCAAGAGTCTGGTGCGAAGGGAGACGGCCATCCAGACGCCGCAGCAGCAAAGAATGCAGCATCCGTTCTCGCATCGTACAACAAAAGCAGCGATGACCTGTTGTCGAAAGGCAGCGCTGAGGATGGCACTGCGTATGGGCGCCGAGTGCTGCTGCCGCTGCTTCTGTTGGGGTTGTGGGTGTTTGCGGCACTGTGAGAAGTGTGCGGTCTCTGTGCGGGGCATGTGCGCCTTCTCCCGCACACACACACACACCGCCGGGAATAAATTCCTCTTCACGGGGGACGATTAATGTTTTTTTTATTGCGACCAGGGAGGGCATGAGCTCGCAGCGGTCCACACCGCAGCCACGCTCTGCCGCTTTTTCTTTTTTTTCTTTTTTTTTTAAATTATTCCCACTGTGTTTGTTGTGGGGGTCGTTTGTAACATCGCTTGTTGTTTGTTGTCCTCCGCGGACGGGGGTGTGCTGCTGCCGCGTGTGCGTGTGGCTCGGAAGGCCGGGGCGGCGCCAGCTGGCGGTGACGAACGTCATTGTGTGCAACCGCTGACTGCGTCCAGGCGAACTGCGAGGCCGTCTTTTTGAGGAATCGTGGGCCGGGTGGAATCGCGCGTCCTCTGAATCCGGTGGGGACTTTTTTGACGATGTTAAGAACGTTTTTTGCGGGGCGATGAGGCGCAACAACGGCGGCGACGGCTCTGCGTGCGAGAATGCGTCTCTGGTGCTAATGCTTCTGATTGGGCGGTGGGGCCTTTTGGCTCTTTGCTGAACCGAACGAAGAGCATCGGTGAGCCGGTGCTGCCGCTGATTGAACATATGAGCCGCCCAAGTAATTCTTTGCGTATCCGTGCGGGTTCACTCCTTTTTTTCGTTTCCTTTTTTTTTTTCATTCTGTGGATTCGTTTTTTGTTTTTCGTCCTTTGGGCCGCACCTTTTGTTTGTTGTTTTTCATCTTTTTTTTTCCTTCTGCTGGTGGTTCTCTTGCTGCTCTCAGTCTCCGCACGGAGAAATGGACC